ATCACATACACAATTTCTGTTAAATGTAATTATATTATTTTGGCAAATGCCATTTAATTTTTTTGTAAACACCTCTGAAGTAATATATATATAATATATATATATATACAGATTTCTGCTTTCATGTTATGCTGTTATTTCTATCATCACATAAACTGATTTATCACTTGACCTGCCAAAACCAAAAGTATCATAAATTAATTGCTGCAGACGTAGTACAGTACAGTACATCAAGTCAAATTTAGTCACTAGTATAAAACCACAACTACTAATAAATCAATAAATAAATGTCATATCTTCAATCTATCAGTAAATCAGCTTTTAGACGTACAGTTGAGAATTCAATGTCATATGATAAAAATTTAAAAAGATCTTCTATTTCATAATAATCACAATTATGCAATTATTTTTATAGATACCTCGAAGGAACAAACTGAGATTTGGCATGAAAACAGAGAGCAGCACTGGAGAAGCAGAAACTATGGAGGCTGCGAAACACTCAAACAGATGAACAGCCCTATCTAGAGCCAGTGATTGGTTTTCCCCTTCTGGACTACTGAAGAAACATGGTAGCCTCCATGAAAGGTGACAGCTTATTCTACACAAACTGTTGTAACAGTCAAATTAAAAAACTAAAATATTCATCTTCAAAGCTGAGCATGAATTCTGTCTCTAAGCTTTCTCCTCCAGAGGTTTGGGCGGTGGGAGTGCTTCCTGCTGTATATCCATAGGACTGCAGTGAACAGCACTGCACCCCATCACAATGGGTGGCTGTCATCCTATCAACCCAACAGAAAACAATACACACATCAATATAACTTCACGTCTTTAACTACTGAGCAAGTAGGGTAGAAAAACTCTGACAGACACAATATACTTATATACAGTGCCTTGCAAAAGTTTATTCGGCCCCCTTGAACTTTTCACCTTTGCACTCTCTCAGGCTTCAAACATAAATGATATAAAATTTTTATTTTTTGGTGAAGAAATCACCAACAAGTGGAGACACAATTGTTCGAAGGTGGACGAAATCTATTGGATATTTTAACTTTTTTTACAAATAAAAAACTGAAAAAGTGTGCGTGCTGCCAAAATTTATTCGGCCCTTTACTTTCAGTGCAGCCAAACTCACTCCAGAATTCAGCGGAGGATCTCTGAATGATCCAATGTTGTCCTAAATGACTGATGGTGATAAATAGAAATCCACCTGTGTGTAATCAAGTCTCTGTATAAATGCACCTGCTCTGTGATAGTCTCAGGGTTCTGTTGAAAGCGCAGAGAGCATCATAAGGACCAAGGAAACACACAAGGCAGGTCCGTAATACTGTTGTTGGAGAAGTTTAAAGCCGGATTTGGATACAAAAAGATTTTCCCAAGCTTTAACATTCCCAATGAGCCACTGTGCAAAGCGATCATTTTGAAAATGGAAGGAGTATCAGACCACTGCAAATCTACCAAGACCTGCCGTCCCTCTAAACTTTCAGCTCAGACAAGGAGAAGACTGATCAGAGGTATGCAGCCCAAGAGCCCATGATCACTCTGGATGGAACTGCAGAGAACTACAAGCTGACGGTGGGAGAGTCTGTTCCATAGACAACAATCAGCGTACACTGCACAAATCTGCCTCTTATGGAAGGGGAGTGGCAATAAGGAAAGCCATTTCTCAAAGATATCCATAAAAAAAGTCTCCCAGATAGCTAGACTCAGACTTGCCAACAAATGCCA